GTGACAGCACCTCCCCTCACCTGGGAGCTGAGCATCCCGCCATCTTGGTGACTATAGAACAGGTCACAGGCTTCAGCTGTATGCCCTGAGCAGGGGAGAGATTGTGCCACATTCCCAGTCTGCTCCACCTCCTGGTGAGGTCTGTCAGGCCTGGTCCTGTCCTTGGAGCTACCAGTGTCCTCAGACAATAATCTAGACAGGGTTTCGGGCTCCCTCACCAGGATGCTGGCTCAAAGCAAATGCGTGCTCTGAGCTCCATGCCAGGCCCTGGGGTGGTGGTGGTGGGGTGGGGGCACCCACCCCAGGGCCTGGCATGGAGCTCAGAGCACGCATTTGCTTTGAGCCAGCATCCTGGTGAGGGAACCAGTATGAAAACACAATATTTTCGCAGCTTCACCCTCTCCCTCCTCACCCAGCTTCACCCTCTCCCTCCTCACCCAGCACATCCTTTACTGCATTGTGGACAGCGAGTGCAAGTCAAGGGATGTCCTCCAGAGTTACTTTGACCTCCTGGGGGAGCTGATGAAGTTCAACGTTGATGCATTCAAGAGATTCAACAAATACATCAACACCGATGCAAAGGTAAAGTTAACCCAGGGCTCTGTGGAGTGTGCTGGGTTGTCCAGAAGTTTTCTTGGAGTCCTGGTCTGCCAGTCTTCAGGCACAGGTTTTAAACTAGAGACTACAGGGGAGAATGGGTAGTCTTTGGCAGACATTCATCAGAACCTGCTCTGCCTGGCACGGTGCCAGGCCCTGGGAATGCAGGGATGATCTGCCTGGCACGGTGCCAGACCCTGGGAATGCAGGGATGAAAACCGGGGCTGATTGAAGGTGGGAATGCGTGGGTTGTGCCCCTGCTGTGATGTAGCATGGTGGGTGCCATGGTGGGAGCCGCTGGAGGGAGGGACTGGCCCTGGTATGTTAGACTCACTGGGTGTGTGTGTGACAGAAACCCAGCTCAGGCTGACTGAAGTAAGATCAGAAGTAAAAACTAGTGAAGTCTAGCACCCGTTAGTGTGAAACCACTGGCCAGAGTGTCGGATCTGTGCTGAACTCCAGGGGGTGCCTTTAGTACCGGGATAGTGAGGCAGGTCCGGAAGCTTGTCTGAGCCTCTGTCTTCCTATCTGAAGCAGTAGGGCTGGTGGAGGTCGCTCATGCCCCTTGCAGTGACTGTTCCACCAGGCCATGGCCTTCGCTGGCAGCAGCCCACCGCCCACCTTGAGCTTGGTTTCTGCTGCAGTTCCAGGTGTTCCTGAAGCAGATCAACAGTTCCCTGGTGGACTCCAACATGCTGGTGCGCTGTGTCACTCTGTCCCTGGACCGATTTGAAAACCAGGTGGATATGAAAGGTACATGAAAGCCAGGCTGTCAAGGCGAGCACGCAGGGTGAGCGCGCTGGCATCAGACACCCCGTCTCCAGTAGGGAGACAAGAATGACTGAGGGCCTGCGCCAGATGCCCATATGGCGGGCCTGGCCTCAGGGTGGTCAGGGCGATTCGCCTTGCTGCTTTGCTGTTTCACTGTTGTTCGTGCTTCCTTTAATGAGCAGGTACACTTTGACAAGGTCAGAAACCATTGTTGCTAGCAAAATGCAAAAAACAAACCAGAAAAAGACCTTCCTGTTCTGGGCTGGTATTGCCTGGTAGGATTAGTTGGCTCCTTTGTCCTCAGTGCCCTGTGGTGCAGTGGGCGTCTGAACTCACCTGGACTTGCCCACGCACTTCCGTGTGTATGTCCACGTGGGTACTTTTTTTCCTAGTAGAGGGCCTGTGGCATCCAGCAGATTCTCTTGAGGGTTTGTGACTCCCCCGCCAAAAAAAAAGTCAGGCACTTGTTCCTTATCACCGTCACCGTCATTGATAGCAAAAAGTATCCTGGTTGGTAATTGAGCTGTTTGCCGCCTCTTTCTGCCCCAGAGGGTCTGTTTCAGGGGAACAGCCACACAGAGTTTGGTACCTTGGCTGTTGCCCCACCTCCCTATTGTGTGGGAAGCAGTTGCTTGGATGCAAGTGGATGGAGCAGAACCTGTGCCTTGTGGTCTCAGCCCTGGGCCAGACTTACGCGAGAGCTGGTGTGGAAAACCAGTTGCACCAGGAGCTCTGCAGGAGGATTTGAACTTTTCCATTGTTTTTCTTAATGTAGCATCGTGGATTCATTTTCCTGTGGAGGAAACTCTCCTGTGTGTGATATAGAGGGAGTCTGGAGCCAGGTCGGGGAGGGCTGCGGGAGAGCTGCCCTGCGCTTGGTTCTGGAGGATGAGGTGTGGGGCACTTCTGGGGGCTCTGAGAACACGGGCTTTGCCTCGTGGCAGGACAGCTGGAGGTTCCTCTTCCTGCCACAGTCAGCTTTCGTTGCAGCTGTTTTGATGATGAGCTCCCAGCCTTAGAGTCGGGACCCAAGCGGGGCTTGACTAGAGGCTTGGGCAGCCTGAGCCTGACCTGCTGCGCACCCTCACCTCCCTCCGCAGTTGCCGAGGTCCTGTCCGAGTGCCGCCTGCTCGCCTACATAGCCCAGGTGCCCACGCAGATGTCCTTCCTCTTCCGCCTCATCAATATCATCCATGTGCAGACGCTGACCCAGGTGAGAGGCCCTGGCAGGGAAGGTTGATTAGAAACCAGTTCGTTTGTCCTGGAGCCCAGCAGATTTCTGTCTCCCACCCTCACTCCAGAAGTGCATTTCCGGGGACCTAGCTCTTCTGAGGACTGACCTCGGGAGGAATCAGTGCCCCATAGAATGGACGGGGCCTGAGGAGGTCTAGCAAGTCCCTTCAGGTCCAGGCTGACTCCCAGGCCAGTGCTCTCCCCACCTCCCCCATGTCCATTTGCCTCACCCCTCCTGCCATGCTGAGCTTAGGAATAGGACCTGAGGCTGCCCAGCTCCCTCACCAAACAGTCATGCAGCCTTTCCTTCTCTGATCCTCACCCCTCATCTAAAGTGGGGGTGATCCTAGCGCCTCTTAGAGGTGGTCTTTGGTTCCATGTTGAGGTAAGGCCCCCCTCCATGGGGAGCGCATGGTAAGTGGGGCAGAACTCTTCCCCACCAAGGCACACAGGCTAGTGCTGAATGGCATTTCTGAAGGGGGATGACCGCCCCTAACTCATGCACCCAGCCCTGCCTGGGGATGGACCTTTCGGAGGAAGTGATGCTTCAGCTGAGGTCTGGACTGGGACATGTTCCCCTCAGGTAGGGTGGGAGGTGGGCGTGCCGAACAGGAAGGTGCTCAGGCCAGGTGCTGGGGCCCCCTTCCCCCAGTCCTATCTCATGTCTGTGTGGGGAAGAGCTCCGTGGGTGGCTGTAGGCCTTGGGCCACTCTCCTTCTTGCCTGGTGGCTGCCCAGGTTCACTGAGGGCCACTGGGGCTACCACCAGCCCCTGACCTGGCGGGCCTGTGGCCTTGCAGGAGAACGTCAGCTGCCTCAACACCAGCCTAGTGATCCTGATGTTGGCCCGACGGAAAGAGCGGCTGCCTTTGTACCTGAGGCTGCTGCAGCGGATGGAGCACAGCAAGAAGTACCCCGGCTTCCTGCTCAACAACTTCCACAACCTGCTGCGCTTCTGGCAGCAGCACTACCTGCACAAGGACAAGGACAGCACCTGCCTAGAGAATGTGAGTGCCTCACCCCTCCAGGTGGTGATGGGTGGGACCCGGGGCCTCTCAGAGGGGTGTCCTGGTGCTGGGCTTGACCTGGGTCCTCCAGGCGCCCCTCAGCCCCTCCCTCTTTGCCCAGAGCTCCTGCATCAGCTTCTCATATTGGAAGGAGACAGTGTCCATCCTGTTGAACCCAGACCGCCAGTCACCCTCTGCCCTCGTCAGCTACATCGAGGAGCCCTACATGGACATAGACAGGGATTTCACTGAGGAGTGAGCTTGGGCCAGTGTGGGTGAGCGTGGGTACAATGCCACACACCCTGCCCTGTTCCCGTGCCTCCCTGCTGCTCTCTGCCTGCCCCAGGTCTTTGGGTACAGGCTTGGTGGGAGGGAAGTCCTAGAAGCCCTTGGTCCCCCTGGGTCTCAGGGCCCCAGGTCATTGGAGAGCCTCAGTCCCCATAATGAGGATGGGGTACCATGCCCACCTTTCCATCAGAACCGTGGGGCCCAGGCCCACCCAGTGGTAAGAGGACTTTTAACATTAGCTCTGTCTGAGCTCCTGCCTGGTTACTTGGCTGTCAGTTCCAGGATGGGGAGGAAGATATGGGTGACCCCCCTCATCTGTGAGCCAAGCCTCCCTTATCCCTGGCCTTTAGACCCAGGCAAAGGCTTCTGAGCCCTGGGCAGGGGTGGGGGTTACCAGAGAATGCTGCCTTCCCCCAAGCCTGCCCCTCTGCCCTTCCTGCCTCATTTTCCTTTAGCTCCTCTGGTTGTTTGCTCATTGGCTGCTGTGTTCATCCCAGGGGGCTCTCACAGAAGTGGAGGGGCCTTTACCTGCATCCCTTGGGGCACAGGACAGCAGCTCCTGCCTGAGCCTGGACATGGGGCTCTTCCTTGTGTTGCCAATTTATTAACAGCAAATAAACCAATTAAATGGAGACTATTAAATAACTTTATTTTAAATGACTGCTGTGGACCTGGCTTTTGTCCCTAGGACTTTTCCCCTCCTGAACCCCAAAGGATGAGAAGGAAACTGGTTACAGCCGTGGCATTTATTCAGGGAGGGCAGCAGAGGGGATGCAGAGATGGCAGGGTCGGGGCGGGTGGCCTCAGCCCGAGGCACAACAGCAGACATCCCTCTTCAGAGCCCAGGGGCTCAGGCCGTCACTCCTTGTGCTGAGGGGAGAGGGATGGCTGAGTGAGCAGTACAACCTGTCATCCCCCACACCCTGCCCTGCACCAAGGGTAGTGCCCCGCCACGCCTCACCTTGGGGCCCAGGGCATCCCGGGTCCGTGCCCGCAGCTTGTTGGCCTGGGTTTCCGCCATGTCTGCCCGCTCCTCCGCATCGTCCAGCTCGTGCTGGGCCTTGCGATACTTGGCCAGATTGGTGTTGGCCTGCTGCTCCTGGGGGCACACACAGGGCCTTGGCTCCTCTTCGGTGACTGAGATGCTTATTCTGGTCCCCGCCCCATCCCCAGAAGGGAGGTGGCTCCTCCTGGTCCTCAACTCTGTTCCTACTGCCACTGTCTGTCCTCACCAATACCACAGCAGGAATAAGGAAGTTGGAACACACTAACATCATGATGTGCTTGCCCCGCCCCTCAGAGGCCAGCTTTGGCCAGGGGGAAGGCACGTCTCCCCAGAGCTGTCAGAAGCTTCTCTCTTCCCTCTGGGTCTCTGAGCTGGGAGGTGGAGCAACTGCTCACCTGGCCACAGACCCTGGGGCAGAACTGGGGTGGCATCAGCCCGGGCATGCTGAGGGGTTCTGGTTCCAGGTGTCCAGACCCCAACGCGCTCACCGCCTCCTCGAACTGGCGCTTGTAGCTCTTGACCTTGCTCTGCAGCTTGTCCACCAGGTCCTGCATGCGAGCCAGGTTCTTCCTGTCCTCCTCGGCCTGGGCAGGCAAGGGGGACTCAGGGTTTGCTTACGCTGGGCCAGCTCCAGGGCACCTCCCCAGGGAGACCGTCGCCCACCTGGTATGCAAGCTCCTTCACACGGCGCTCATGCTTGCGCACGCCCTTAAGGGCCTCAGCGTGCTTTTTCTGCTCTGCGTCGAGCTCAGCCTCCAGCTCCCGCACCTGTGGGTAGAGGGAGGGCCTGATGCCAAGTCCATTCCCGGGCTACCCACCCTGCCTGGGCCCAGGACTAGAGGGTCCTCACACACCTTGGCCTCCAGCTTCTGCACCTGTTTCTTCCCACCACGGAGGGCGGCCTGTTCTGTCTCCTCAAGGCGGGCCTGGAGCTCGCGCACTGTCTGCTCCAGTGTCTTCTTCATCCGCTCCAGGTGTGCACTAGTGTCCTGCTCCTTCTTCAGCTCCTCGGCCATCATGGCCGCCTGTTGGGGGAGGACGGGCGGGTCAGGTGACCAGCCCCAGGGAAGAAGTCCCTCTGCGTTCTGCCCCAGGCTCCCCACAACCCTGGCCCCGCCTTACGTCAGTGATGGCCTTTTTGGCCTTCTCCTCAGCCTCCCGCCTCTCCTGTGCAGCCTCCTCCACCTCCCCGCTCAGCTGGGCCAAGTCCGCCTCCAGCTTTTTCTTCTGGTTCAGGAGGCCTGTGTTCTGAGGGGAAGCGGAGTCTCAGAGCCAGCCCACAGGCCTGCGCCTGCTCTGTCCCCAGGGACTCCTGTCCCCACCTGCGAATGCAGGAGGTTGAGGCGCTCGGTGGCCTCCAGCAGCTCCTGCTCTGCCAGCCGCCGGCTGCGCTCGCCCTGTTCCAGGGCAGCCCGCAGCTCCTCCAGCTCTGCCGCCAGCAGCGCGGCCCGGCGCTCCAGAGCCTGTGCCTGCTCACGAAGCTCAGCCGCCAGCCTCTGCTCCTCATCCCGCCCTGCCTGCTCCTCCTTGAGCTGCGCCTGCATCAGCCGCGTGGCAGCCTGGGCCTCCGTGGCCTGGCGGGTGGCATGTCCCAGCTGCAGCTCCAGGTCGTTGAGGTCACCCTCCATCTTCTTCTTGAGCCGCAGCGCCTCATTGCGGGCCCGTGTCTCTGCATCCAGGGAAGCCTGCAGGGACTCCACAGCCCGCTGGTGATTGCGCCTATGGGAGGGGGGTGGCATGAGAGGAGTTCCCATGAGGACACAACTGTCCATACAAATGCCCAAGGACTACTGGGGACAGGAACCCATTTTGAGAACAAGTGAGTCATCCCTCCCCAGGTTAAAGACCCTTGTGACTGCCTGTGGCCCATCAGAAGAAGTTTTTGGACACGAGTGAGGCCCAGGCAGACAGGTGGACTAACTGGCTCCATCCCCATGGTGTGACCTTGTACCAGTCCTTTAATGTCTCAGGTTCACCTCTAGAATGGAGACAGCAACCCAGACCCGAGAAAGTCACGTGGGAGGCACAGACTAGAGAGGGCAGAGTACACACTGCTTCCCTTCCCTACTGCTCTCAGGAGGCAGGGACAGGAGGAGGATCAACACACCTCAGGTTAGTGCACTCCTCGTCTTTCTCTGCCAGCTTCCGGTCCACTTCCGCTTTGACCTGGGAGAGCTCCAGCTGGATCCGCAGCGTCTTGGTCTCCTCCAGCTCCAGGGCCCCCTGTAGATACAGAGCAGTCAGGCTGGGGTGGGAGTGTGGCCAGGGAGCAGCAGGTCAGTGTCCACCCACCCCTGCGGCAGCCCCTGACCTCTGCCTCCTCCAGTGCAGCCTGGATCTCGCTCTTTTCACCTTCCAGTGCCTTCTTGGCTTTCTCCAGTTCCTGGATGGTCTTCCCACTGAGACTCACCTGGTCCGTGAGGTCGCTGATCTCCTCTGCAGTGGACAGGGTGCTGAGGGTTCACCCCCATGGCTTGTACTCCCACCCAGGTCGCTCCACTCACCGCTGATTCCAGGGTGTCCCCACCAGGGCACCTCATGACTCCGAGGTGCTCAAACCCCTGGCCCTGGCATGCAGCAGGTCCTACCCTGCAGGTTCTTGTTCTCCCGCTTGAGTGTCTCCAGGGCCTCAAGTGCCTCCTCATGGCTGTGCCGCAGCCGGAAAAGCTCAGTGCCCAGGCCACGGGCCTCCCTCTGTGCTGCCTCCAGCTCCCGCTGCATCTCCTCCTCCTGCCGCCGCCGTTCCTCCAGTGCCCGTTCTAGGTGCCGCTGCTTCTTGTCCAGGGCAGCGGCCGCTGAGGTCGCCCGCTCCAGCTCCAGGGTCACATCCTCTGACTCTGTCTGCAGCCGCAGCTTGGCCTTCTCCAGCGACGAGCACTTGGCGTTGGCAGCCTCCACGCCCTCCTCTGCCTCCTGCAGCCGTAGTGCCAGCTTCTTTCTAGGCCATGGGAGCAGACAAGGTGTGGACCGTGGAGGAAGGGAGAACAGCCCAACAGCTCCCTTTGCCCACCCATGCATAAAGCTCTGCACAGCAGTGGCCTGGCCAGCAAAGCACTCACTTGGCCTCCTCCAGCTCCTCGGTCCTCTGGATGGCATCTGCTTCATACTTGCTCCTCCACTGGGCCACCTCGGCATTGGCCTTGGACAGCAGCCGCTGCAGCTCAGCCTGGGCCTCAGCCTCCTCCTCATGCTGCTCCCGCAGGAGGTCACAGTCGTGCCGCAAAGCCTGCACTGCGTGGGCCAGGGCATTCTTGGCCTGCAGGGACATCAGTGACTTCAGCGTTGGTCCAGCCCAGTAGCCCTGGTGCCCACCGGCATACTCCATGGTCACCAGCGCCAGCCCACCTTGCTCTCCTCCTCTAGCTGTCGCCGCAACTCCTCCAGGCTTTGAGCGGCCAAGGCCTTCCCACGGCTCAGTTGGCTGATGAGACATTCCTTCTCCTCCAGCAGGCGACTCAGCTCCCCTGCAGGTGAAGAGGCGAGCAGGCAGTTCAGGCTGGTGAGGGCTACACCAAAGCCCTGCCCAGTATGGCCAGCTGAGCCCCTGGCCTCACCACTCTCCGTCTGTAGCCGCCCACGCTGCGTGCTTGCATCCGCCAGCTGCCGCTGCAGCTCCTCCACCTTGATCTTGGCCTCACTTAGCTGATCCTCGTGGGTCCGGCACAGCTTCTCTGCACTGGCCTGAGATCCCGGGTTGGGGGTCGGGGGTCAGGGGTCAGACATCAGAACAAGTTTGTGCATCAGAGAGCAGGATCTGGATCTGCCAGTCAGAGACTGGGATCTGGGATCAGAAACTGGTAAGCTAGATGTGGGCCCAGGAATCAAAGGGAGAGCAGAGCCCCAAGTTCAAAGTCAGGAAAAGGGATTCTACTGCTGGGCATTAAAACTGACAGGGCCAGTGGGTCGGGGTGAGAGTTGAGCTAGTAGCTGTGGAGTCAGCTGCGGACAGTGGTCAGACGTCAGCGGTCAGTCAGGATTGCATGGTAGAAAGGTTAGGGGTCAAGGTTAGGGTGCTGGGGTTCAAAACAGGAAGAGACTCAGGACAGGTATTAATTAGGTCAGAGGTCAAGAGTCAAGGGCTGGGGTCACAGGGAGTCAGGGCTTAAGGCCAGAACTGGTAGGAGGCTGAGAAATAGGGGTTGGGTGCCAGGTTAACAGGTCAGGGCTCAGGATCAGGTACCAGGTGGAGGCTGGTATGAAGACAATATCGGCTGCTGGGGTCGGGACTGGTTTAAAGTCAGGGTGGGTATGGGCTCAGGAAGGCACAGACACCTTGGCACGGGTCAGAGTCTCTACATTGGCAGCCAGGTCGTCCACCTCCATGCGCAGCTCACTCTTCTCCTTCTCCAGCTTCTGCCGCACCCGCTGCAGGCTGTCCACCTGCTCACCCAGCTCCGCGGCGCCCTCCACTTGCTTGCGCCGCAGCGCCGCCACCGTGGCCTCGTGCCGCAGCGCTGCCTCCTCCAGCTCCCGCCGCAGCCGCCCCAGCTCTGCCTCGCGCTTGCGGCAGCCCTCACGCTGCCCCGCAGATGCGCCACCCGCCTCCTCCAGCCGCTCGCTCAGCTCCTCCAGCTCCCGCGCCGCCTCCGCGCGCTGCTTCTCCACACGGGCCCGGGCTGCCCGCTCGGCCTCCAGCTCCTCTTCCAGCTCCTCCGCTCGAGCCTGGGGTGGGCACGCAAGGCGGCTGTCACCACTGTGGGCCTCTGACCCCAGGCCTCACTCACCAGACCCCCAAGTACCTGCAGCTCCTTGATCTTCTTCTGCAGCTGGGCCCCCAGGAGCTGCTCGTCTTCCACCCGCAGGCTCAGCTGGCTCAGCTCAGAGTCCTTCCTGGGAGCCACATGGTGGGTGAGCCGGTGCAGGCCCTAAGGGACCTCACCCCCATGCACCTGCTGCACTGGGCTCTGTGGCCTCAGCCCTGGACCCTGGCTAGGGCCCTCAGTCCAGGGAGGGCAGGATGCTACCCCTGCACCTCAGTGCCCCCATCTCTCAACCCCACCCTTAACCTCTGCAATGCCACGGGACCCACAAGAATCCAGAAGGCACCAAGAGTGGGTGCAGGCTCAGAAGGCCCCTCCGCTGTCCCTGCCACACCTACTTCTTGAGCTGCTCCTCCAGCTGCTGCTTGTCTTGGGCAGCATCGGCCACTGACTCCTGCGTCAGCTTCAGGTCACCCTCCAGCTTGCGCTTGGCCCGCTCCGTGTCCATGCGCAGCTTCTTCTCCTGCTCTAGGGAGCATTCCAGCTGCAGAGTGGGCAGAGCAGGGCTCAGCCATGGCCCAGGCCAGCCAGCACCCTGGCCCCACCACCAGTCTCTGGGTGGTGCTGACTTACGTCCTCCACCTGCTGCTCCAGCCGGATCTTGGCCTTGGTCAGCGCGCTCACGCGGTCCTCCTCCGCCTGCAGGTCGCCCAGGGCCTGCTGGTGGGCCTCCTGCAATGCCTTCTTCTCCTTGGTCAGCCGGGCCACTGACTCGTCCAGTGCAGCCATCTCTTCCGTCAGGTTCTTCACCTGTGCCAGGGCCGGGGTCACCACGGGGACGGACGTCCTTCCCCGCACTCTGAGTGGCCACCACACCAGGTCAAAGCAAGCGCCCCTTCCAGCTCTGGGACTCTGGCAAGTCACTTGAGTCCAAGCCTGTACTGCTTCTGCCTAAGGGAGGGACCCTCCTCACGGGCTGTACTGAGGATTCACGAGCAGATGCACATACGGTGCTCAGCACCCCGCCAGGCCCAGCAAGAGAGCCACAGATGCCAGCCACGTGCGGTGTTAGCATGTGTTCAGGGCAGCCACTTCCTAGTCCTGGCTTCCCTAGTGAGCACCTGGGAGAACCTAAGCCTCCTGCCCCCGCCTCACTTTCCCTCCTGTGTAATGGAGTCACTCCTCCAGCACTGGGAACCACAGGGACTGTCGTGAGGGCTCAAGGTGAGAAGTCACCTGCAGGATGCAGATCTGGGGACATGGAGTTCCTGTCCTCAAGGGACTTGCACTCCAGGACAGATGAGGATTGCTAGCATGTGCTAAACACCTGCTGTGTGCAAGGGTCAGTCACAGTGTGCTCAGGAAAGGCTAGCCACACACCAAATCACCACCCACCTAATGGGGTAAGTGCTGCTAATCCTACTTGACAGATAAGGAAATTGAGGCCCAAGAGAGGCAGTGACACGCGCAAGGCCACAGAGCAGAGGCTTAGCGGGACAGGGGTGTGTAGCCACATGGCTCAGGGCCCTTCCCCACACCTTGTTCTCGGTGGCTTGTTTCTCCTTCTCAGCTTTGGCCAGCGTCAGCTCCAGGTCATCAATGTCCTTCTTGAGCTCCGTGCACTCATCCTCCAGCTTGCGCCGGCGGGCGGCCAGGTCGGCATTCACCTCCTCCTCATCCTCCAGCCGCTCACTCAGCTCCTTCACTTTCCCCTCCAGCTGCACCTTGGACTTGATCAGCAGGTGGCAGCGCTCCTCAGCATCTGCCAGGTTATCCTGTTCCTGAAGGGGACACGGAGTGGGGCCGGGTTGGGGCAGGGCCAGGTAAACCAGCAGGGGGACCCCAGGCCAGGCCCTGGAGAGGAAACTTCATGTGTTTGCCCATGCAAAGGTTTGAAGCCTATCTCGGCTGGGCTCTGAGGACCCAGGAAAGCCTTGACCTGCTCTTAGCCCTGGAGGCTCAGGTATGGAGGGGCAACAGCTCAGGGAGAGGGACACCCCAGAGCATCAAGAGGGGAACATTAGACATGTGGGGGGTGGCCCAGAGTGAGGCCCAAACAAGGGTTCTGAGAGAAGACTGCTGTCCACACCCTTCTGTTGGGGTGAAGCCTTCGGCAGGGCACGGTGGGCAGCAGCAGCCCCTGCCCAGCCACAGAAGGGCTCTTGGAGGCAGTCTCTGGAAGGGCTCAGGTATCCTTTCCCCACCATTTCCTCACTGCCTGGCTGTGTCACAGCCTCCTGCACTAGCAGGTGAGTTTTATGACCAAAGGGCCATCTGTGTCTTCCCACCAACGTTCTTCCTGCACTAGCCCGAGCCTGGGACACAAGCGATACACAAAGCCATGTGCTGAAGACAGGAAAGCTTGCTTTGTGGACCTGCGGAGATTCCAGACCCTTGACCTGTGCCCTCTGCCTATCACCCTCTTCCCTGACACCTGGGTTCCCACGACCCTTCACCAGAGAAGACAGCATGGGTCTGTTTGGTTTCAGGGATGGCAGGAGGGGAAGAGTTGGAGCAGGGGTTCCTCTGCGGCGTTAGTAGGAGGCCAAGGTGGCTCGGGGGAGAGCACTAGGACCCGTGGCCAGACGACGCCTTGGGGTGGGAGGCTGGGAACATGGAGGCCTCATCTCATGGCACCTTTGGAACAGGGAGATGTAAGGCTGTAGCCCCATGGATCTGGCTGTAGTGTCTCTCAGAGCAGCCAGGGGTCCTCAGGGGACCAGGGATGCCAGGTCACAAGGGAACCCCAACTCACAGCCTGCAGCTGCAGGGCCAGGTCGTTCTTCTCCTGGGTGACGCTGACATGCGTCTCCTCCAGCTCCTGGCGCTTGGCTTCGGCCGCAGCCAGTGCCCCTCGCAAACCCCGCAGCTCCGCCCGCAGGGCAGCCAGCTCCTCCTCCGCCTGTGCTGAGCGCAGCAGCGGCTTCATCTTGAAAAAGAGCTTCATCCATGACCAGTTCTTGACGGCATTGAAGGCACGGATGTTCCACTGGATGGTGAACAGCGCGTCCCTAGGGAAGGACAGCTGGGCTGTGGAGCTGGCTCAGTGCTGCCCATCACCAGCACAGGTGGTGACACGTGCTACAGTTCACCTGTTTCGCCTTCCTAGTAGCTCCTAATGCCTCTATAGGTGGGTTTGAGGGAGGCCTACAGTCCCACAGGCCCACCTGCAGTGAAGGGGCTCATGAGCCCCCTCTGTCCTGGTGGCCCTGCAAGTGCCTGAAGACACAGGGCTGTTAAGCCATGGGGCTCTGGGGGCAGTGGCGTGGGCTGACATCCCAGCTGGCGCTCTGTGATGCGGGCACCCCTTTGCTGAACGGAGACCATCACGGCACCTGTCTCGGGACTTCAGTGCTTCAACCAGGATGACGCAAAGGAAGCATCTTGCCCAGGGGCGCACACGCAAGTCTCAGACACTGGGTGCCATCAGTACCCCTCTGGGCCACACTCTGATGGCCTGGAATGGAGAGGCAAGGGCCCTACCCCAATTTTTGAGGTGAGGAAATAGAGCTTGGGGAACACAGAACAGAACCTTGCCCCAACCAGCCACAGGGGCTGATCTGACTACAGGGCATAGGTCAGGCTGGGAGAGCCAGTGGGTCTGGGAGCCGAGGAGCAGGGGCCGCACCCCTGCCCTGTCCCCAGCCTCCTTCCCACACCCACCTGCCTCCCAGCAGGTGCTGGTACTCAAGGCGCATGAGGCGGCCTCGGCTTCGCGCCTGCAGCAGTGTCAGCACCTTGGCCAGACGCTGGTCACGGAGCTCTTCCAGAACACCTAGAAGCCCAGCCTTGAAGAACACCTGGGAGTAGAGAGGGGGACAGCCAGGGTAACCCCCAAACTTCTGCATGAACCCTGCCCGGTGTGACTGCCACAACCAGGGCCAGCCCTTATCCCACAGTGCCCCAACCTTGGTGTGGCCTAACTGGTACTGGGTGTGGTCCAAGTCCAGCGAGCCCAGCAGCTTCTCTGTGGCCTTCCTGCTATCCATGAAGGTGTCATCTGGGATGGCACTGGGGTTCAGGATGCGGTACCTGGGAGGGTAGGGCAGAGCTGGTGAGGAGAGAGCTGGGTGGGGGGTACAGGCCACTGAGAGTGGGGAAGTCAGGGACCCAGAAGGTTGGTGCGGGTAGCAGGGAACTTGTTCCTAGGCCTCTCCGAGGCTGGTGCAGAGGTTCCAGCAGGGCACACACCAAACAAGGGGGCCAGGGATGTGTCACCACTCTGGGACACTAGGGATACTCTGCTTAAAATTCTTAAGGGGCTGGATGAGGGTGGTGGCTCATGCTTGTAATCTCAATGGGAGGCTGAGACAGGTGGATCGCTTGAGCCCAGGAGTTCAAGACCAGCCTAGGCAACATGGCAAAACCCTGTCTCTACTAAAAACACAAAAATCAGTAGGGCGTGGTGGTGGGCGCCTGTAATCCCAGCTGCTCAGGAGGCTGAGGCTGGAGAATCATTTGAACCCAGGAGGGCGAAGGTTGGGGTAAGCCAAGATCATAACACTGTACTCCAGCCTGGGCGAGACTCAGCTCAAAAAAAAAAAAAAACCACCTTGGGGGGATTTAAATGCGTTCAGTAAGTTTTTAAAGAAGACTTTTACAGAAGGCATGCACTATTTTTATAATTTTTTTAAAGGCAAAAAATATTAACAGGTGCCATGCTGTGCCCTATCACTGAAGAAACATTTGGAAGGGAATGCTACTGCAAAAGAACCAGGGCTCCTAGCCTGACCACTTCTAAGCAGACACACGTGCACACATGCACAGAGCCGTGTGCGTCAGGCGGGCGGCAGCCACACGTGAAGGCAAAAGCAGAAACACAGAAGGCCCGTTGCAAGGGGGACTCATTAAACAAAGCATACAGTCGACAAGACTGTGGGATATTTCACAGCCACAAAAAAGAGACGATGATGCAGGCCTGTGGATTAAGGAACGAGCTCCAGGCCAGGCTGTTACAGGAAAAATCAAGCTCACAGCACCGTGTGTGTGTGTACAGTATCGGTATGAACCTCCATTTATAAAGGATAGTGAGGATGGTACCGAGACTTCTGGAGGGAGAAGGAGCAATGGATACTTGTTGCCTATCAAGGGAACGGGGAGAGGCTGAAAGCACTGCCCGGGCCCTCGCTACGTGCGACCAATCTCACGAAGCTTCATCCACACGCTTCTCATTCAACTCCTAAATCTGCACCCTTTCTGCCTCCTGCCCTGAGCTCCAGACTGATCATCCCAGTTTCCCCAACGACTTCTCTAGGATACCTGCTGGAGACATTTCAAACCTGACATGCTCAAAACAGAGCTCAAACTGCTGTCCCTTCACCTCTCCCCCACATCAAAAAATCTTGTCTTTGTATCTCAGTAGATCTACCACCCGCTCCCCGCTGCTCACTCCCAACCAGAAGTCACTCTTGTCTTTTCTGCATTCATAATCCCGTGTCCCAGCTCATCAAGGAGGTCTATTGGCTCCACCTCTAGTATTTGCCCCAAGCCTGTTCACTTCTCCCCAAGTCCCAGGCCAGGTCTGCACCACCCCCGTCTCTTCCTGGGATGCCTGGCCAGAACCCTCACAGTCCCTGCTTTCCCCTCCAGAGAGGAGACCATCTGTCTGTCAGGCTCTGACGCGTGTGTCCTGCCCACCCCGCCAGGCCTCCACCTGGAGCAGGGAGAAGGGGGGGCACTCACCGCTGCCGGAAGTCAGTGTAGAGCAGCCTGTTGGGGAAGCCTTGGCGGCAGATCCGGATTCCCTCCAGGACCCCATTGCAGCGCAGCTGGTGTAGCACCAAGAAGGCATCCATGACCCCTGGATGTGAGAGGGGAAAAGGTCAGAGGTCAACAGACACAACTGCAGGCCCAAGAGAAAAGCAATGCAGACCCTGCAAGGCGACGGGGAAGATCTGCTTGGCCTCATGGCCTCTGTCCTGTTGCCTTCCCCTCATACCTCTGGCCCCCAACCAAGCCAGCCCTGGGTGACTACCTGGGGTCTTGTTCTCGTTGGGGACAATGCAGCGGACGAAGTGGGGCTGTGTGGCCCGCAGGTTGGTCATCAACTTGTTGAGGTTCTCCTGGCAGGGAGAAGAGTGAGGGAAAGGCACAAAGGGGCAGAGAACCAGAATTGGATGCTGCAGTGGTCAGGACCGAGATGGGAGCAAGGGCTGTGTGCCCTGCACGTTTGCTCTTTTGCTCTTGTTCTGGTGATGGGAGACCCTTCAGGGGGGTCTCCCATCACCACCACCAAAATCTTCACTCCCCTTCCAAATCCCCGTTCCTCCCAGAGGCCGGGGGCTCCCAACCCTTGCCCCCAAACCCTGCCCAGGCAGCGTAGGGACGGGAAGCAGCACAGACTTGCTGTGATGTTCACGTGGAGAGGAGTTAAACATCACTGCAAGTCTTAACGGCCGCCCGCCCAAGGCGCAGGGGACAGGGCAGGGGTGAAGGACAGGGCCAGAGGCTGCTGAGAATGAGGGGCTACTCAGGGCCCAGACAGGGCCTCACCTTGTGCAGCTGGGACACCGTCTGGAATGATGCTGCCTTCTTACGCTTCTCTTTCACCCCAGACTTGGGGGGCTCGGCTAGTAGAGACAAGGGGTCAGGTCACTCCAGGGAATGTCGCTCTGTGGCCCCCGTCAGAGCAGTGATCCTGTTCCTTGGTACTCACTGGAGCAGGAGCCAGCATAGTTCTCATACAGAGTAGCCAGGAGCCTATTCTGTGACTTCTGAAAGATGGGGACCACTGTCTCATTCAAGGGATCCTTGTTTTTCTCCAGCCAGCCCACAATGCTGTAAGGCACCTGGAGAGACCGGACAGGTGCTGAGCCCAGGTGGGGGACCTGGGACAGGGAGGGAGGATCCTGGCTGAGGGCTGGGGTTCCAGCAGGGACCTACCACGCCCGCGTAGTGGACCACTTCGAAGTGGGCCTGGTACTTGCGCTTCTTGTCAGGCCGAGGCTGCTGGAAATTGGGTGACTTCCCCGCGTGGTTGTCGTAGAGCTTGGCGCGGAAGCTGGCGTCCGAGGCTTTGGGGAACATGCATTCCTCCTCCAGGATAGACAGGATGCCCAGTGGCTGGGGACAGAGAACAAGCTTGAAAAGCCACCCTCAAGCCAGCCCATCCTGGAAGGACTGAAGAGAACTGAAGCCCCGGTCCCCAGGCCACCTCCCTTCAGGGAGCTTTCCCAGATCCCCAGCCTCAGCCAGCTCCCCGACGGTCAGAGGCCACACCCACAACAAGAACCCATCTCCTAAAAAAGAAAAGTTTGTGGCTTGGCTCCAGTCCCCCTCCTGCAACATCTGCGGCACTCAGTTGTCATCTTCACTTCTAATATGTGGCGTGCCCAAGCTAGCATCTCTGTACCCACTCTCACCCCTGCCACAGCCATGGCTCTCACACACAAACACAAGAGTTTAAAAAAAAAAAAAAAAAGCCATCATATTCACATTTTGGCTTCCTCACTCACTAGCTGTGGGGCCCTCCGACATCACTAAGCCTCAATCTGGTAACCTGCAGAGTGGGAAAATGAAATGTCTTCAGTGCTAAGTATCAAAAAACTCAAATCACTTAAACGCCCAGCCACAGGGAACTGCACAATTGCACCCTAGAAACTCATCCACTGCATGAGCTCTCCTTGCTGTCAGCAGCATTCAAAATACATTTTCAGAGAAAAAGTAGGCTATGAGATCAATCTGTGTCTATAAAAGAAAATGGATAAGTTGGGTGTGGTGGCTCAAGCCTGTAATCCTAGCACTTTGGGAAGCCAAGGTGGGTGGATCACCTGAGGTCAGTTCGAGACCAGCCTGGCCTACATGGCGAAACCGTCTCTACTAAAAATACAAAATTAGCTGGGTGTAGTGGCGCATGCCTGTAGTCCCAGTTACTTGGGAGATTGAGGCAGGAGAATTGCTTGAACCCTCACCTAATGGTGCCACTGCACTCCAGCCTGGGTGACAGAGTGAGACTCCATCTCAAAAAAAGAAAAGAAAAAATGGATAAAGGATTTCAAGGAAAGGAACCTAAGTGTCATGTGACCGGCTGTGATAGAGTAGAAATGGGAGGCACTTTTTTTCCTGCCATTTTCAAATTTAATTTCCTTTCTTCCATTCTTTGTATAAGGGATAAATACACATAATGTCCCACAATCACTAAAACAAATAAGGAAACACACCCTACCCTGTGCCCGGGGCAGTTCTAAGGATCCAGTAAATTGTGGCTGCAGAATTCTGAGCACCCAGGAGGAGCTACTGTCGACAGGACGGATGCACACATTCGAAACCCTCACACACTCACCATCGCTCACCCACAGCCAGCTCCAACATACCCATTCACACACAAGCACATACACTGTCACAACTACTCACATGCACATGCTTACTGCAGCGCCCAGTCACACACTTGCACAGGTCTCAATGCAAGCCACGGGCATCCAGCCCTGCTCGCCCACCACACACACCCTCCTTCCTCAAAGTGACCTTGCCCCGCTCCCCACCTTCTCAATGAGGTCAATGCAGGGCTGCAGGTCGAGGCCGAAGTCGATGAAGACCCAGTCGATGCCCTCCCGCTTGTACTCCTCCTGCTCCAGCACAAACATGTGCTGGTTGAAGAACTGCTGCAGCTTCTCGTTGGTGAAGTTGATGCACAGCTGTTCGAAGCTGTTGAACTACAAGAGGGAGGGGCTGGCTCAGCAGGCCTCTCACAGATGGAGAAAGGGAGGCTCAGGGAAGGGTAGGGATGGGCACAAGTTCACCCCCAACTTCCAGGCAGAAACCCAGGGCTTCTGCCCCCCACTGGCCCATGTCTTCCACCTTGGAAAGAAGAGTTCAGGATGAGGGCCTGCTCTCACCTCAAAGATCTCAAACCCAGCGATATCCAGCACCCCAATGAAGAACTGCCGGGGCAGCTTTGTGTCCAGGGTCTGGTTGATCCGAGACACCAGCCACCTGAACAGCCGGTCATAGGTGGCCTTGGCCAATGCCCCCACTGCAAACACCACCTGGAGATGCAGGGAGGCTGGGCTGGGACCTGGCAAGAAGGGGACCCTGCCCAGCTGTCCCCCGTGGGCCTGGCCTCCAGGCAGCTCACCTGCTCCACACTCTGGCCCTTGGTCACGTACTCATTCCCCACACGTACCCGGGGGTGCAAAAGGCCTTTGAGGAGGTCCCCGCTGCTGACCCCCATCAGGTAGGCAGCCTTGTCCGCACCTGGCAGGGCACATGGGTGAGATGAGGGAGGACACCACCATGGGCACTCAGGGGCTCTACTGCCTCAGCCTGGGGTTAGGAGAGGGAGCTTGACAGGGGTCAAGTTCAGGGCTAGCAAAGCCTCAGGAGGGTAAGGGTTTAGAGCTGAGGAGGCAGGACCAGATAAGACTGAAGTGAAAGGTTGTGGACAAGAGTGAAGGTGAGCCAGGTCAGGGTCAGGTCAGGGTCCCTCACTCTCAGTGCCGTCCGCCTCCGCCTGCTCCTCCCGCTGCTTCTGCTTGAACTTCATGTTGCCAAAGTGCAGGAGGGCACCCACGATCTTATAGCAGGCACACTTCTCATCCATGCTGAAGCCCAGAATGTCCATGGCATGCTGGGACGGGGGTGGGGGGGACAGTGAGTTCAGAGAGGTCTGGGCTCCTCCAGGGTCCAGCCAGGTACCGCCCCTGGACCATTCATGCAGCTGGGGACACCGGCAGTGCTCCCTGATCCCACCACAGGTGCCCATGCAGCTCCCCTCCCACCACAGCCCGTACGTCGGTGGCAATGAGCTCCTCCCCGTCGTTCATATTGTCCACGGTGATGACGCCCTGGCTGCAGAAGTGGTAGTCGTAGGGGTTCATAGACAGAAGCAACATGTCTGGGGACACGGGGCAGAGGAGGGCGGATCAGGCAGTGCCCACCAGCTCTTCTCCCCCAACAACTGCAGCATGAGGGGTCCCAGGTGGGGCGGTGGGGCAAGCCCAGCAGGAGTCCAGGGCCCTCCCCAAGGACCTCGTCTCCCAGTCCAGGGCCTAAGTTTCTCATCCTCATCCCCGCCAAGGCTGAGGGCACTGAGAGTGAGGGGTCAGGTCAGGACCTGACCTTCGCTTTGACCCTGGCTTCTCTCTTTCTGGTTCTCTGAGGAATGGGCCACAGTCCCCATGTCTCACTCACCTTTTGACTGTTGCTCACAGCCCCCTCTGACCCAGATCCCATGCTAGGTGCTGGGGCACAGGGAGGACCAGACTCCGCCCTCAAGGGGCTTGCCAGGGAGAGGATCTGGGCCTAGACAGGCATCAGTCTGCCTTGGGTGCTGGGTGGGACCTCTCTAGTCTCAGGACAGCAGGGGGGTGCTTAGGGCTTAGGTTTCTGAAAGAAGCAATAGCATGTTTGCAGGTTGCTGGAGCAAAGAGGACTGTTTCCTAGCAGGAAAGTAACCAGAAGTCCCAAGAAAGAAGAGACCACAGATCCCTGGACAGGGAGGGAACAACTACCAGGGCCTGGCCTGATGGGGGCCAGGAAGCACCAGGCAGCCCCTCTGGGTTCTGACTCCCACCCACTTCATCCCTGCCCCTTACCCTGCAGCTCTGGCTTCTTCCCTGAGAGGATTTGGTAGTAGACGTGGTAGCCACGTTCACCGGGCAACTGGAAGATCACCCGAGACTTCTCTAGGAGATCTAGGGAGAAGGGGTACGGGCCTGCCATCTCCCACACTTCCCCAGACTGGACATCCCAGAGGAGTGATGGGGAGAGAGGGGAGGCAGGGAGTGTGTTGAGATGCTGTGTCTGCACCAGCCAGCATGTGCTGGGAGGGCGTCTCTCCTGTGCCTGCATTATCGTGTAAGCTGTGTGTCTGTCTGTAACTCTTGTCTGTGTCTATGGCCAGATGAGTCAGTGTGTGTCCTTGTTTGTGTGGGGGTGTGAGTGTGGTGTCTGAGTGTGCAGGTTATCTGCTGGTGTGTCAGCGTGTGTGTGCATATGTGTCTGTGGGGTTAGGGTATAAATTACAGTGTATCCCTGCCCCTGTCACCACCTGCCTGTGCTCATCTGCCAGGAGCTAGCCGTACAGCTCAACATGGGGAGTGGCCAGTGTGGGGCCCTTCTGTGTCCGTGGCCCCTTGAGTGTGGCCCAGGCGCCTGGGGTCTGTGCAGCTGGGTGATGGTGGGGCGCTTCCCGGTGGTGGGCTTGGAAGGATGGGGTACTCTAAGTGTAGCTGTGTGACTAGGGCAGGAGGGGCGTGAGCCAGGTCTGCCCTCTTGGTGGCCAGAGAGAAGACTGGGGACAGGCTAGGAGTGCAGTTACAGAAGCCCAACTGGCCAAATGAGGATTTGGGTCTCCATCCTCAGCTGACAGTATCTAGAGAAAGCTTTCAAGCAGGGACAGGATATGACCAGCAAAACTATGGCCGCATAGAAGAGAGGCAGCTGGAGGGTGATGTTCTGGTGACAGGTGAGGTAGCCTGAGCTGGGCAGCAGCCAGGGGGTAGAGAGAAGTGCCTAGATCAGGCAGGAGCCAAGAGCAGCGGGAGACCAGAAGTCTTGATGGCAGAGGCCTATTTGGGGTGGCTGGGCTCAGGCCCTGCCTGGGGCCTCCTTCCCCTGTACCCTCCCCCACGGCGGGCAGACTCACAGCTGTCAATATCCGCGGATGCCAGCTTCCCAGAGGGACCAAAGTGAATGCGGATGAACTTGCCCTGTGGGCAGAGGGGCAGCCCTCAGCCAGGGTGCAGCCAGCGCTGTCCCCACTTGTGTCCAGCCTGCCCTGCTGCAGCCCCACCACCCACTCCCACCTCGGTCACTCACAAAACGGGAGGAGTTATCATTCCTCAGGGTCTTGGCGTTGCCAAAGGCCTCCATGGCAGGGTTGGCCTCGATGATTTGATCCTCAAGGGTGCCCTGGGGGCGGTGGGGGTGATGGGTCTGTCAGCTCTTGCACCTACCCACCGGGAGTGGCCCCTCTGTTGTTGCCCCTCTGTTGTGTGGAGGAAGGGGGCACCCCAGAGCTGCCCCATTCACACTGGCCCCATACTTACCCCAGTCTTTGTTGCCAGAAATTGCTGGGGGAGAAAACAGACAGCATTAGAGAGCAAGGCCTCTAATGTGGGGCAGGGCGGGGTAGGGTGGGCTAGGGTAGGGCAGCGTCTCAGCGGGAGGCAGCAGGAGCAGGGCAGCAGGTTGGGGGTGGATGTTAGTCCCGGAATGCGCAGCCCCCACCCTCCACCCCTGGCCCTGATGCTCCTCCAGCTGTGAGGAGGTGAGATGCCAGGAAGTAGGAGTGGCATGGCCCCAGCCTAGGTCTCCACCTGCAGCCTCCGCTGCCCCAGCCCAGCCTCTGGCCTCCCTTCATTTTCCAGTCTCTATGCAGCAGCCCTGCTCCAAGCCCCAAGGGTCTCCTGACTAAAATCTAGGGCCCTCAGAACCCAGCCCCAGTACTCCCTCCTCTAGGAAGGCCTCCTGGCTGCTCCAAAGCTGGAAGGACCCTCTTCCTGGTCTGAACCTTCCTGCCCTAACCTCCCTCTATGACCTTATACACCTTTCCTTTGTAACGCAATTAGGTGTATCTTCATTGTATGTCTGTACACCTATGAGCGCTCAAAATGGGCTGCCAGGGGCCTATCATTAGCCCTAATCTGCAAATGAGGAAAGTAAGGTCTGGGCAGGGAGCGGACCTGCTCAGGGCCACACAGCAAGTCAGGAGCGGCAGGACAGGTGCCTCGCAAACTGCCTCCGGGATGCCCACAGCTGTCCTGTGTGTCACCCAGGGGGGCTCACTGAATTGAGCAGATCCTCCCTCTTCCCGTCCTAGCCTCATCCTCATCTTCCCTTCCTTTTCCTTTCCTTCTATTCCCTACCCCAGATGCCGGGAGCCTAGGAAGAAAGGAAGAGAAGGGAAGGAACAGGTTCTGGAGGGAACAGATACGCCACCAGGGACTTTGTGGTCATTCATTCACCTCCAGGGAGCCCAGGAGTTAAAATACCCACAGGGAAACTGGGCAGGGGAGATGCCCCCACCCCCTACCCTCCCATCTGGTGCTCTTGTGCAGGGATCTCTCTCTGGCCTGTTTGGCCAAATCTGGGGCCAAGGTAAGGGGAGCTGCTAAAGCTTTTAAGTGCCTGCAGCCATGACTTCTGCAGGCAGCCCCTCCCGCCCCTCCCTCTCCTGCCCCTCTCCCCTGGGCTCCACTGTTCCTGCTCCTTTCTGCCCAGGTACTCCTCTGCCCTTCCAGCTATGTCCCTGCCAGCTCTGGCCTCTCTCTGACATCTCTTCCTGTTACTCAACTAACCCAACTTTCTGTTACATCCCCAGAGACCTTTTTGGGGTTTTGGAACAGGGCAGGAAAGGAAAGGAGGAAAAAGGACCAAAAGGTCAACAGCAAAAACAAAACCAAACCGAAATGAAAATCAAAATTCAAGAAAATCAAATTGATAAAAAGGAAAAGGCAAAAAAAAAGAAAAAAGAAAGAAAGAAAAAGAAAAGAAAAGAAAGAAAGAAAAGCGGGAAGAAAAGGAAAAAGAAAAACATCCACGATAAAGCAAGGCTCAACAGGACCAGGAGCAGGGACTGTGCAGGGAGGGAGGCCTCGGGCTTCCGGAAAGAAAAGACAGCCCATTTGGGGGTAGCCACAGCACTCTGAAGAACTGGCCCCCAGGCTAGGGATGAAATGCTATGCCTTAAAAACAAAAACAAAACAAAAAAAACACTGGGCCTCATTGTCTCAGAAATTTCCAAAAACTACAGAAGTCACAGGGCCCCCACTGCTGGGAATGCCCAGTGTCCTCTGAGTCTGCTAACCTCTGTGTCTAACGTGTCAGTGGCAGGTAACTGTCAGGGAAACCAAGACAACAACACTGCTTAGTTAAAGCAGCCCGTCTAGTCAACTCTTTCAATATGTGAAGGTCACAATGGAAGATAAAAATTACACAAATTTAGGAACAGCAGTGTGGTCCCGCCCCTCCGTGTTATCGATGGGAACGCTAAGGCAGACGCATCAGGCAAGCACAGCCTTTCTGGTCAAGCCTTGCTCAGGCCAGAGTCCCCCACCGGGGTGGGAGGCTCAGGCAGGACTCAGGGTTCCAAGGAGTAAAAATTTTTAAAAGGATTTAAAAAAAAAAAAAAAAGGAGAGGAAGAAAGAAAAGAAAAACAGGGAGATGCTTAGCAACTAAGTAGAAAAAATAAAAATAAAAACAGGGAGAAGCAACGGGGAGCATGCCCGAGTGGGCAAGTCTTACGGCCTTCTTGCCCGGCCCGTCTCCCAGGGCAGCGACGATGGCAAAGTACTGAATGACCCGCTTGGTGTTAACCGTCTTACCGGCCCCCGACTCTCCGCTTGGACGACATAAACATGAGTCACCAATGCCCATCTGGCCTAATTCTTCCCTGCCCCCAATGCCTCACCCCTCAAGCAGAGCCCCCACAACCTCTCCTTCCCCCCAGCTCATAATCCCCACACACACTAAACCCTAAACACCCAAGAATGGATCGACCCTCAGAAGTGTTTACAAAACCAGCCAGTGTAGACCATCCCTGTGAGATAACAACACACGATGATGCCACTGAGCACTACCTCAGTACCAGGCACTTAACCTCCATCCACTCTGTTATGCTTCAGAAAACCCTGGAAGGCAGGCTCCATTACTACCCCCATTTTTTGAACAAGGAACTGGGCCTCAGGAGTTCTGTGGCTGTCCCAGCTGAGATATATATTTGCCAGTCACATATATCACAGCTCCCTGACTCATAACTGTGTGTGGTAGGTAGGATTTTTTATGTAACTTTTTTATTTTTGTAGAGATGGGGGTCTCGCTATGTTTCCCAGCTGTTCTCAAACCCCTGCATCAGGCAATCCTCCCACCTCAGCCTCCTCAAGTGCTGGGATTACAGGCGGGAGACACCGCACTCAGCCAGGCCCGTCTGGGTTAAAGGTACTTTTTTTTTTTTGAGATGGAGTCTCGCTCTGTCACCCAGGCTGGAGTGCAGTGGTACAATTTTGGCTCACGGAAATCTCTGCCTCCTGGGTTCAAGCAATTCTCCTGTCTCAGCCTACTGAGTGGCCGGGATTACAGGCGCCTGCCACCACGCCCAGCTAATTTTTTATATTTTTAGTAGAGATGGGGTTTCATCATGTTGGCCAGGCTGGTCTCGAACTCCTGACCTTGAGTGATCCACCCACCTCAGCCTCCCAAAGTGCAGGGATTACAGGTGTGAGCCACTGTGCCCAGACAAGGCACTTGCTCTTAACTGCATGCATACACGCACACGAACACTAAACATTCCCACAGAGGCAACGGAATTATCAGAGGTAAGATTCAGACATAAGTAGATGGTGAAAAGGAGGAAGGGCAGAGGAATCTTCCCATTGACCCTGAGCCAAAATTAGAACCCCAAAGGATCAAGGTGGGAGATTCCAGGCCCTGGGGAGAGGACGTATGGGGCTGGTCACTCCATTTGTGGGTGTCCCCTCCCTATCCCCCATCAAGAACACATCTGCCCAGAATGGGGGCAGGGAAAGTGCTCAGGCCTAATTTAGCTTCACCTGGGACACTAGCTCCAGGTGGTAAAAGCCCTGCCCTAAGCACTTTGGATTCAACCTTGGGAAATGACTGTGGTACTGCCCTCTTTCTGCCAGATGGCCAGCATTTTCCACCCCACCCCCAGAGCCCCACACTCACGTGATCAGCATGGACTGGTTGTCTCGGTCTGGAGGAAAGGGAAGGGGATACAGAAGTCGGCCAAGGTGTGGGGCAAGCCACAGGTCAAACACCTGGGGCAGACCCCCACCACCCAGAACCAGGAATGGGAAGGAGCAGGTGGGGCTGTCCCTAGTAGAGGTTAGCTCCCATGTGGAGGGACAGAATGGCTGGGCAACCGTGTCAAGCAATGTCAAAAGGGAGGCAGTGCCAGTGGAGGGAAGGAGGCCCTTTACAGAGGCCTCCCAGGACCAGGGTCGGGGTCTGGGGTTGGGGAGAAGTTCAGGCGGCCCTCACTGCGCAACATGTCGTTGTAGGCATTGTCGGCCACGGAATATATATGCGGTGGGGCCTCCGAGCGGCGCTTTCCCTTGTAAGCGGCCACCACGGAGGCTGTGTAGACTGGGAGCCATTTGTAGGGGTTGATGGTGACACAGAAGAGGCCTGAGTAGGTCTGAGGAGAGAGTATAGGTAGAGTTTCTGTGGTGGTGGTTGTTGTTTGCTTGTTTTTGACTCTTGCTCTGTCTCCCAGGCTAGAGTGCAATGGCACGATCTCGGCTCACTGCAACCTCTGCCTCCCAGTTCAAGCAGTTCTTCTGCCTCAAGCCTCCCCAGACAGCTGGGACTACAAGTGCATGCCACCATGCCCGGCTAATTTTTGTATTTTTAGTAGAAATGGGGTTTCACTATGTTGGCAAGGCTGGTCTTGAACTCCTGACCTCAGGTGATCCGCCGACCTCAGCCCTTCCAAAGTGCTGCTATTACAAGCATGGGTCACCGCCTCTGGCCTCCAGGTGGGGTTTTCAGAGGGATACCCTAAAGGGATAGCCTAAGTTCCCATCCCCAGGCCCCAGTCTCCACAAGACCATGACCCCTGCAGTATTCCTCAAGGAGCCACCGACTTGCCACACCGCACCCTCTGTGGCCGTCTCGGCCTTGCCCCTGACTCCAGCTCCCAACCCCGCCCCAGCCCACACGCAGGACCACCATAACCTGCAGGTAAGTTCTAGACCTGCCCCCCCCCCGCCCCCACTGCTACAGCTGCTACGCTAAGGTCCCAAGGCCCAACCTCCAGCCCCGCCCCCACCGCTCGCAGCCCCGCCTCACTGTTTACTGCCGGGCCCCACCACTAAGGACCCATCCCATCGCTTACAGCCCCACCCCACCGCTACGGGCCCGCCCCCAGAGCCTCACCTCCAGCCCCACTCACACAAGTCCCGCCCTTCCCGCCCCACTCCGGGACCGGGCCTGGGGCTCACATAGATCATCCAGCGGGCATAGCGCTGGCGCAGGTTGTGTAGCACAGAGGCCTCGTTCAGGTGCGTCATCATGGCCAAGTCCTCCAGTAAGTCGAAGCGGGGTGGGTTCATGGGCTGCAGCTCGGCTTCGCGTACTGTCAGCACCTACCAGGGAGACCATGTCAGGGTGGGAGGATCGGAAGGACCCGACTGACCTCACCTGTCACCCCACCCACATACCCAGACCCCCTTCAACCAGAGCACAGATCCTGCTGGCCAGAAGCCTTGGGGACAGAGAGGCTAATCTCAGGAAAGGGGGAGAGGAACCTTCTGGTCTTTGGTCTCCACGGTGACTCTTCCCCCGGTAGCCTCCGACTTGACCTCAGCCTCCACATAGGCGTCCTGTTCATCAGGCACCCAGACTCTCTTCTTCCCTGGGTTGCAGAGAGAGCACTGGACTTGGAGAGGGGCTGAGGCACCTCCAGGGGTCCAGCTAAAGTACCCAAGCCATGGTATCCATAGGGCTGTGACCCTCCCCGAAGCCCCTCTGCCAGGACACAGGAGTTCCAGTGAAGAATCCTCCAAACCCAGACTCAGGAAGGGCAGAGCTGGGAGGGTCCCTAGAGATCCCCTTGTTGGAGGATGAATCTGGGTTACACACTTGGGTTCCAATCCCTGTTTCTGCCATATTTGCCCTGTGATCTCAGAGTTCTCTCTGGGCCAGTTCCCTCACACACAAAATGTTATGGGGATCTTCTCAGGTCCCACAAGGAGCAGCCCCTCAGTATCAGGCATTATAACTCGTGGGGAGGGGTCCTGCCTTCCCTATTTCACTGAAGACTCAAAAAACCCAGGCTTCCTAACTCTTTAAACTGTGCTCTCCTGCCTGGCCAGCTGTCCCCAGAGCTTTGAGGAGCCCAGACTTCATGGTGGTTAAAAGCATGGACTCGCTGCAGACCAGAGTTTGTTCCCTGCTCTGCCAAATGCCTAGGTCAGAACCATCCAGGACCATCTACATAACCTACGGACCCCAGTACAAAATGATGATGTGGGCCCCTTGTTGAAAACTATTAAAATTTTCAAGATGGCAACAGCAGAGTATTAAATGAAGCACAAGGTCCCACTGAGCCTGGTGGCCTGTGAAGCTAGCTCTGGCACTGGTCCCACCTCCCCAGGTTGTTGAGATGATGCATGGAAAGTCATCTGCTCTGGGCCTGACACACAATAAGCACTCGATACACACTGCCTATTGTTAGTATTGTCCTATGAGCAAACCAGGTCATAAATAGTACAGCCTTTATTCCTGTCCCTAATAAAGAGTGGCTCTGGCTCTGCAGGAAGCACTAAAAATAAGCCCAGCACAAGTTTTGTGGACATGTGGAGGCAGCCTACACACATGCTGATCAGTCTCATCTCAGAGGCCTCGGGCTCCAGCCTGAGTCTTCATAAATAGCAGCTCCGGAAGGCAGGTGGTATTAACCCATTTCACAGGGGAACAAACCAAGGCTTGCTCACAGAGACAGAGTGATATACACAGTGTCCCTGGGGTTTTAGTTTCCAGACCCCAGACTCTGCGGGAAAGGTCCAGGGCTCCAGCTGTCAGGTCCCAATGCCCCTTCAGCCCTGAGCTGGTGCCACCTCTCCCAATTCCTGGTCTGAGTCCATAAAGGAATCTCTGTGGCTGTGTCCCCTCCCCCTGTGCCCCCACTTACCATCCCATGGGATAGTGTGCACCTTCATCATCTCCTGGTAGCCCTGGCGGAGGTAGCGGGCAGACTCCCCAAGTTCACTCACATCCATCATGGCAGTGGCACTGGGGTGAAGAAGGAAGAGCTGGAAACCTTGGAGGTTCGAAGTGGCCCAAGGCAGCAGGCACTGGAAGATGGCAGTGACAAAGGAGCTGAACTAGGGCATGATCCCACAACCCACAAGACCAGATACTATGCAACTCCCTCTGGCTCCCCATCCAGCCTCCTTGGGTGAGTGCCCAGCATACATGCACACCCCCAAACACCAGGGCTTCCTCCATTCCAGATTTGGAAGGCTCACGCCCACCCACAGGCACCCTCACCCACCCACCCACCCTCCTGCTCTCCCTTCAGCTCCAACCCCAGCCCTGATCACCCACCTCAGCACCACGATGAGGGCAGGAAGCTGTGCTACCCCTTTTATTGCCACCGTCAAGGTCAGAGGAGGAGAGCTATGTCAGCAATCTCCACGTGTCACAACCCCCCCAGCCTGGCCACAGGACACAAAAGGCAAATTCCCTTTTATCTCCACCAGCGCGGCCCCTGGGCTATTTTTACCTCCCATTGTCAGGGGATCACAAAGGCAAAGAGAGACACTCCACTGAGATACAGGGAGGCTGGGTGCAGAGACTGATGGGGACAGGGACAGGCAGTGAGAGGTTCAGGAGACTGAGGAGCTCATGGGGAGAAACCGAGTCACAGAGAGTCTGACACACCCAGAAAAATACCCACACCTCCAGATACAGACAGCAAGGACACTCAGAGGGGAAACCACATAATGCCCACTGAGATTGGACCATCTAGTCCAACCCTCTTGATAAATCCAGGGAAACTGAGGCCCAGAGAAAAGAAAGCATTGGCCAAGTCTCACAGATGAGCAATGGGCAAGAACAGATCAAAATGAGAAGGAGAGCGAGACAAAGAGATACACATCCCTCTCCAGCACCTGCAAAGCACACACACCTGTGTACCCTGAGCTGTACTCAGTGTATAGAGCGTTTCCTGCCTCTCGGAGACTTCTCTGTGCCTCCACTCATTATCCTCCCTCAGAAGACCACTCTGCCACTTCTACCACCATAGGTGAATTTTGCCTGTTTTGAACGTATATGGTTGAAAATGTAGCTTTGCATTTCTTTCTCTACATTTTGTCTGGCACATCTGTACATTTGGACGTGGGAGTGCATCAATGCCCTCTTCCCCCTTCCTCCATCCCCATTTTCTTTCTGGACAACCCCTGGGGAAATCATACATGAAGAAAACCAGACCTGGGACTTACAGAATCAAGGAATTATTTGGCCGAAGTGGAAGCACATCAATGAAATGTCACCCGGTTAGGAGCTCCTTCAGATTCCCACATTTGAGATTCACAGGAAGCCACCTTACCGTAGCCCACCCTCGACAGGGGTTCAGGGCATTGGCAGTCAGTCTGCCTGATGCAGTCTTCGGAATGTGTCAGGGCACTTCCAGGCTTTCCTGTCCATCACCCCATTCAGGGCTCCGTGATGCCACAGGATTTTAGAATCAAGAACGAAAGGATCCGAGAACCTGAGATGCCAGATGCATGGAACAATAAAGTTCCAGGCAGAGGCCAGACCGGGCTCACACGGGAAGTCCTCCGACCAATCTGCTTCTGTTCCAAATGCTTAGTGTGCCAGCTGAAATACAGAGAAATAATTTCCAAGCTACATTTTCAACCATATACATGCAAAACTTGCCTATGGTGACAGAAGTGGCAGAGTGGTCCTCTGAGGGAGGTAATGGCTGGAGGCCCCAGAGAGTCTCTGGGAGGCAGGAAATATTCTATACGCTGAGCAGAGCTGTGGGACATAGGTGTGTGCACTTTGCAAAACAAATCAAGCTGTACACCTAAGATATATGCACTTTACTGTGTGCATATTAAATGAACACATTTTAAAAATGCAGTGCCTTCTACAACAGTACCATAAACTATGTGGCTTTAAAAAAAATGCAGTGCAGGCCGGGTGCGGTGGCTCACACCTATAATCCCAGCACTTTGGGAGGCCAAGGCAGGTGGATCACAAGGTCAAGAGACCGTCCTGGTCAACATGGTGAAACCCTGTCTCTACTAAAAATGCAAAAATTAGCTGGGCATGGTGGCGCACGCCTGTAGTCCCAGCTACTCAGGAGGCTGAGGCAGGAGAACTGCTTGAACCCAGGAGGCGAAGGTTGCGGTGAGCCGAGATCGAGCCATTGCACTCCAGCCTGGGTAACCAGAGTGAAACTCTGTCTCAAAAAAAAAAAAAAAAAAAAAATGCAGTGCCAAACTTGGCAATATTTATCAAAATTACAGCTTCCCAGATGCTAGGAGGAATTAGTCCTACAGCATGTCTCCATCATGAAATGATATGGGTCCCCTTTGGGTAGACATTTCGATTATTTTCAGTCTTTTACCATTAGTTAGGGGTGCAGTGAATAATCAGACAGTTTGATGAACTTTCTCAAAGTAAACATACCCTGGGCCAGATGCAGTACCTCATGTCTGTAATTCCAGCACTTTGAGAGGCCAAGGTGGGCAGATTACTTAAGCTCAGGAGTTCGAGACCAACCTGGGCAACACAACAAAACCCCATCTCTACAAAAAACAAACAAAAATTAGCCAGGTAGTGGCATGCACCTGTGGTCTCAGCTACTCAGGAGGCTGAGGTGGGAGGATTGCTTAAACCCAGGAGGCAGAGGTTACAGTGAGCTGACAGCATACTTCACTCTAGCAGGGCAACAAACCCTGTTTCAAAAGCAACAACAAAACAAAACCATACCCTGATCAAAAAACAGAAATTATAAGAAATTATCCCCCTCAGATCACCCCTCACCTAGGGTAACACAATACTGACTTTTTTTTTAAATCATGCATGTTGCAGGGAAGACTTTATTTATTTATTTATTTTGAGACGGAGTTTCACTCTTGTTACCCAGGCTGGAGTGCAATGATGTGATCTCGGCTCACCGCAACCTCCGCCTCCCGGGTTCAGGCAATTCTCCTGCCTTAGCCTCCTGAGTAGCTGGGATTACAGGCACGTGCCACCATGCCCAGCTAATTTTTTTTTTTTTTTTTTTTTAGTAGAGACGGGGTTTCACCATGTTGACCAGGATGGTCTCGATAGCTTGACCTCATGATCCACCCGCCTCAGCCTCCCAAAGTGCTGGGATTACAGGCGTGAGCCACCGTGCCCGGCCGACTTTATTTTTTTAATTCCCACTCTTGCTTGATCCACAATATAATACTGACTTCTAACCTCACAGATTAGTGTTGTCTATTTTTAAAATTTGCTTATGTATGTATGTATTTATTTAGAGACAAAGTCTCACTCTATCACCCAGGCTGGAGTACGGTGGTCCAATCTCAGCTCACTGCAACCTCTGCCTCCTGGGTTCAAGCAATTCTCCTGCTTCAGCCTCCTGAGTAGCTGGGACTACAGGTGTGTGCTACCATGCCTGGCCAATATTTGTATTTTTAGTAGAGATGGGGTTTTGCCATATTGGCCAGGCTGGTCTCGAACTCCTGACCTCAGGTGATCCACCTGCCTCAGCATCCCAAAGTGCTGGGATGACAGGCAGGAGTCACCGTGCCTAGCCTTAAAATTCGTTTGAATGGAATCTTACATTATGTATTCCTTTCTTTGTTCTCTCCACATTGTCTCTGTGAGAACCTCATTGTTTCAATTCTCTTTGTAGAGCTTAGGTTGTTTCTTGCCTATTTCCTGCCACTAAAAAAGACCTCCATGAGGGCAGGAGCTTGGTCTGTGTCCCCAGCACCTTGCCAAGTGCCTGCACATCATAGAAAGTCAGTAAATACCTAGTAAGTCAGTGAACGGACCAAACCTGATAGTTTAGATTATAGGATTTTAATCTCTATATGGCATCAGAGGCTGGAGAACTGGGCCGAAGCAATTTATAGAAAGCCCAGGTATGAACCTGGGTCTGAGAAACCAAGTCTCCAAATGGGTCTAGATCTTCCTTGTAGGTTCCCTTCCACTACCCAGGGTGCATCCTCCTGCTGAGATGAGCTCACACACAAACATGACAAAGCAAAGAGGAAACCCAATGATCTGAGAGATTTGCAACAAATACTATAACCTGCAAGGACTTGAGGTACTGACTTTAAATACCTGAAGAGCTTGTAATCCCAGCACTTTGGGAGGCTAAGGCAGGTGGATCACTTGAGGTCAGGAGCTCAAGCCCAGCCTGGCCAACATGGTGAAACCCCCTTTCTACTTAAAAAAAAAATATGATGGGGAGCTCTAGTATAGAATAGTTAAAATTTTATTTTTAAAAAAAAAAAAAAAGCCAGGTATGGTGGCTCACGCCTGTAATCCCAACACTTGGGGAAGCCAAGGCAGGTGGATCACCTGAGATCAGGAGTTTGAGACCAGCCTGGTCAACATGGTAAAACCTCGCCTCTACTAAATATACAAAAAAATTAGCTGGGCGCAGTGGTGCATGCCTGTAATCCCAGCTACTCAGGAAGCTGATGCAGGAGAATCACTTGAACTGCAGTGAACTGAGACTCTTACACTGCACTCCAGCCTGGGCAACAGAACAAGCCTCCATCTCCAAAAAAAAAATTAGCCAGGCATGGTGGCGTGTGCCTATAATGCCACCTACTTAGGGAGGCTGAGGCAGGAGGATTGCTTAAACCCAGGAGCTGGACGTTGCAGGTGGGCAGTGACAGGAAGCAGAATGTAGGTGCACATGAAGGAGGACTTTTTCACCTTCTGAGCCCATCAGCAATGGGAGAGGCTGCCTTGGAGGAAAGTGAAGCTGCCAGCACCAAGGAAGACTCAGGCAGAGGTTGACCAGGGCCGAGACCTCTGGACTGGATGACCTTTGAAGTCCATTCCAATTTCAGGAGTCTAAGACTCCAGGATTTTAGAGCCCAGCCCAAAATGTATCTACCACCAATGTCGCTCAATGCCTGGAATTTCTTCTTTGGGTAAAGACGTCGAAGGACTCGGTGAAAAATGCTTCTACATCTGGGAGGGACACATGAATTCAATTCAACATGTATCTGACAGCTTCTGTTCTGTATTCAGGATCGGAACAAAAGATACTCATTGTCTAGGAAAGGAAAGATATTCAAGGGAGACATCAACATGGAGGAGTCTGAAGGTTAAAAGCTAGTTTGAAGGGTGGGCTCATGGCTTATGCCCATAATCCTAGCACTTTTGGAGGCCGAGGTAGAATAATCACTTGAGGCCAGAGTTTGAGACTAGCTGGGCCACCAGGGCATAAAGGGGAATAGGGCAGGACTAAGCAGTTGGGACTGAACTGTGAAGGGCTTCAAAGGCCAGATTCAGATCTGGAGCTTTATCCTACAGGAACTGGGGCGCCATCAAAGGCATTTTTATTTATTTATTTTTTGCATCACAGAGCTCTGAGCAAGAGAATTTGACCATGTGGTCAGATTTATGGGTTCCTAAGCTCCTTGTGGCATCTCTACAAAAAAAATTAAATTAATGAGGCATAATGGCTCACACTTATGATAATCCTAGCAACTTGGAAGGCTTCAGGCAGAAGGATCACTTGAGCCAAGGAGTTCAAGACCAGCTTAGGCGGTTATAGCAAGACCCTGTCTCTACGAAAAATTAAAACATTAGCTGGGCATGATGGTGCATGCCTATAATCTCAGCTACTCAGGAGGCTGAGAGGCAAGAGGATTGCTTGATCCCAGGAGTTCAAGGCTGCAGTGAGCCAAGATCACACCACAGCACTGCAGTCTGGGCAACAGAAACAAGACCCTGTCTCTAAACAAACAAACAAATCTGACACCCAGACTGGCAGGAAGAGGGGTATGGCAACAAGGTTCCTCCCCTCAAAGAGCTGACACTCCCCTGGAGAAGAAAAAATAAGCAAGCAAACACATTTTTAAGGTAATTAAAGATTGTGGCAAGTGCTATGCATGAAATGAACAGTAAGGCCTGGAAGGTAATGGGGGTGTGCCTCGTTAAGGTCGGGGAGGGAGGGCCTCTCTGAAGAGGCAACACTGAAGGTGAGACTAGAGAGTGTCAAGAGGCCGGTCAGGTGGGGAGCCTTTGGAACAGTATTCCAAGCAGAAGAAACAGCAAATACAAGCAGCATGGGGTAGAAAACAGCTTCAGCAAATACAAGCAGCATGGGGTAGAAAACAGCTTGGGATGTTGAAGGTGCCATCCTAGTGGTAAACAAGGGGAGAGTTTTCCAAGGTGAGGGTGGACAGGCAGATCATTCAGAGCCTTGAAGGACTTAGAAGACACCTAGGATTGTATTGCAGGTGCAGTGGGAGCCTATGAGAGCAGGAATGTGAGCTGTGAAGTTTCTTTTTTTTTTTAGACAGTCTTGCTCTGTTGCCTGGCTGGAATGCAGTGGTGCGATCTCGGCTCACTGCAACCTCTGCCTCCCAGGTTCAAATGATTCTCCTGCCTCGGCCTCTGGAGTAGCTGGGACTACAGGTGTGCACCACCATGCCCAGATAGTTTTTGTATTTTTTTTTTTTTTTTTTTTAGTAGAGAAGGGGTTTCACCATGTTGACCAGGATGGTCTTGATCTCTTGACCTCATGATCTGCCCACCTCGGCCTCCCAAAGTTCTGGGATTATAGGCGTGAGCCACTGCACCCGGCCAGAGCTGAAGTTTCATAGTGACCACTCCAATGGCTTGGA